TATCTTTCTTTGAGAATAATTGGTTGTTTAAATATGAAACCTAAACACCAAAAAAAAAATCATACAATAGCTACCAACATTAGAATTTTAACATCGACAACGTAACAACAAACCACAAGCCTATTACTAGAGTGTAATAATCTTGATGAATCTTATACTAATCCAATTGAACTTTACTAACTCTACAAAAGCACAACTATACATTATAGGTAGTCCATGAGGCTTGCAAACTCTATAATATAACTAGAGTAATCTAAAGATAAGAACGTCAATCATGTAAATAATTACGACTACATACTAGTTGAAAAAGTTATAATGTGCCATCAACACTAACATCAAAGATAGTCATAAAAAAATCAAAATAAAAATTATTCTAGCCTTTTACTACAAAATACGGATCTCATTCAAAACAAGCATGCAAGTTTTTAAAGAAAAAATAAGAGAACTAAAATGGTTATCAAGTGTGGAAGCTAGGATTCTACTCTTTAAAATACAAATTTTACATTGCCTCGTGATCCATACTAGAAGATGATATAAGTAGCAATAAAACTCAAATATGTACAAGATAAAGACTAAGAGAGTATTACTTCAACAGTAAAAAAATACAAGCAGATCTTAGCAAACTTGAGCTACAAAGTGAGGCAAGTCAAAGAAAATGTTTTGAATTAAATCTCTTGTTTTTTTTAAATCAATAATTAGGATTTTTTTATGAAGGCACTAAAAAATGGAAGAAAATATGATTATGATGATGATGAAGAATATGATAATTATGATGAATATACTTAATTTTCATTAATTATAAATCTAATAGTAGAAAAATGAATCTAAAGCTTATTTTTTCATGATTGAGAAAATTATGTTTTTAAGTTGATAATTTTTTGATATATATATATATATTATTAAAAATATTATAAAGATTAATTTAGAATTATTTTTATTATTATATATAAATTAATATATAAATATTTTGACTTTTTAGCTAGTACATAATAAAAAAATAATAAATAAATAAGTAAATAATTTTATTTAATAATATTCAAAGTTATTACTATGATTATGTCATTTCTTTTAGAGATTATTTATAATTATGAATATAATTTATATTTTTAATATTTTTAATAAAAATTATATTTTTAAATTTTATTTATATAGAATGTCAATAATCAAATTATATAATTAAAATAAAAATCTTAAAATATACATAAATACTATTTAAAAAAATTAAGACTCAAATGATATTATATTTAAAATAAATAATAAAATATAGAGAAAGTTATTGAGATTCTCTAAAATAAATATTTTTGATCAAAATTTACAAAAATATATATATATATATATATATATATATATATATATATATATATATATATATATATATATATCTACATCTATTTATAAAAAAATTATAAAAAAATATATAGTCAAAAATTTTATTTATATATTTTTTATTATTAAAATTTTAACAATAATACTTTAAAATTAGTTGCATATATTGTGTACATATTTATTGCATATGCATAGCATATTACAATCCAAAATTAATCAACATAAATCATGTCATGAATATTGATGTCAAAATTTTTAAAATTGATTCAGTAGAAATAAAATGTAAAATATATACTTGAAAAATGTTGATATATAAATAATAGGATCAACAAATTTATGATTTTTAAAATAATTCTTATCATAGAATTATGGAATTTTATATAAATGTGAAACTTCAAAAGAAGGTTTGAAACTGCAAAAGAAGGTTTGGAAATGAATGGTTTAGCACAAGACTTGTTTTGCAATGAAAGAATGGAAGGTCTTAAAGAGTAATGCCTCTTAAAAGAAATTGTATCTAAATAGGCTTTTAGTATGTTCTTTTTGAAATATTTAAGCTTTTTATAGCAATTGCTCTAAACAATATATTTTATATGTCTACAAACTTTAATAAGTATTTTTTTTTTTTTTTTTTTTTTTTTGGGTGTTTAGACACCTTTCATGTATTTGGAAGTAGTACTATCAAATTAAACTTTTATAAAATGTTATTTAGATTCTAATGTTTTCAATGTAAAACATAATAGATAATATTCTTGTATGCTTTGCAACTAAAAAGCAGCCAGGTCTGCACTTGCACAAATTAGTTCTTTAGTACAAACAAATTATTGTAATATATCTATATAAAATGCTAAGATATTTTCATTTATAATATATGCAAACTTGCTTTGCAAATTACTAATTTGATTTAGTTTGCATCTAATACATTCATATTCAACATTACTTGAACATGAAATATTGTATTATCAATATTTGGCCTTTGGTAATAACATTGTGGTCTATAAAGCATGTATATCTTGGTAGTCAAAGAACCAAGCCATAAGTTGGCATCAATTCTTTTCTACAATCTCATAAATAAGTGAATTTTTTATTTCTTTTAAATATGGATTTCATAATTTTTTCACATTAAATGGTCATTGTCCAAATTAATGTCCTTCAAAGAATACAATTGTTAAAGTGTTTGGTCGTAACTCATTGATTTATGTAGTAGCATCTTTTAAAATTGATCTAATCTTTACAAACTCATCTTTGTAAAAATTGGATATGAACCTAATAATTAAATTCCAAAGTAAATCCACCATCTCAAAATTCTTAAACATTTTACTAAAATTTTCAGTAAGGTGGTACATATAAATACTATAAAATTATTTGAAAATATCAGTTATATAATTTTAATAACTCTTTTGAAGCTATCCAAAAAAATGTCATCTAGATCATGTCTTTATCAACCATATCATATTATAAGAGTGTTTTTTTAAGTAATTCAAAAAAAAAAAAAAAAAAAAAAAAAAAAAAAAATCTTATTGTTCTCAATATCTACAACAACAAATGCTATTGGATTCATAGTTATTTTAGTATCTATTGAAGTTGCATATAAATAAACTTTCAAAACATTTGTCTTATAAATGAATTTAGTTGAGAACAATTAAAAGACATCATTTGAGGAGAAATCTTGAAACCAATACATAGAATATAATAAAAATATGGTCAAAACAACAAGGCTTTTTATGCATTCTATAACCTAGGGCAATAGCAATGCTTACTAGATTTGGTTGCAATAGTTCCATTCAATATCTCTAGTTATTATATTCTATGTATTGGACTTTATCAACCATATCATAACCATGCAATAGTTCTATTCAATATTGATTAATTGGCTCAACACTCTCTTTTCCATACCATACTAACACATGATTGTAACACCATGATCTATTTTTACATCTTCAATAATCTTTGTTGGCTTATATATTGTAATCTTTTAAAGACACTCTTGTATTACTTTTGCTATCCATACTATTGTTTCTTAATTATTTTTCAAATGAGTAGGTTTAATATAGGAATGGTTGTTGTTATGTGTATGCATTGTGAATATTAAACTTGTTGGTAATTTTGTAGCATGTAAGTTCCATAAATAATCTTCAGCAATACACTTCACAATGCATATTTTTTTTTAATAATAATTTCAATATAGACTTTAAAGTTATCACAATTACAATGTTATATAAGAGGTTGCCAATTTAAGTATCTTATATGTCTTAAATTGACCTCCAACAAGGTCAAATCTTTATATATTTGTATTGCAAAAATGAAGTATAAATTATATGCTTTAAAGCCCCATTTTTTCTTTTAGTGCTTAATTATATATCATGTATATTATAATAATATACAAATAGTAATAGACTATTTTTTTACTATAATCATTGTTATTAATTATGTAATTGTTGTATTTAAAGTGAATTAGTAGAATGTATAAGAAGAAAAAATAATGTGCAATATGCAGTGTGTAATTTTTTTTATATTTATTTATCAAGGCCATTTTAGAAATTTAAAATTTATTGGCATATTTTTTATAACCTCAACAAAATTTATCAGACCTATTTTTGGTGTTTTTTATTTTTTTAAGAATCTTTCTTTTTATATATTAGGAGTCTAATATTTATCAAATTTTCTTTTAAAAGGCATTACTACCTAAGACCCTTTACTTGCTTTCTATAGAAAGCAACCTCTATCATTTGCTCTTTTTCTCAAAATCCCTCTTTGTATCTGTACTTTTATACCAAACTCCACAATTCTATTACCAAGATTATTTAGGAACTTAAAATTTTATCAAGTCTACTCTTATATTTATCCTTGAATTAATCAAATTTATTTAAATATAAATTAAATTAAATTCTTATCTATTGCATATATTTTTATATTTAGGTAGTAATTTTAATAAATGCATTATATTTACATTTCAAAAACCAATGTGTATATGGTATTGCTAATGCCACCACAATTTGCCAACCACCATATGCTACCACACTTCTTGATATTGCCACAACAACATGCCACTTATTCAAAATGTCTCTTAAGTTTTTTTTTCATTCCAATCAATAGAATTGTTAATATTTCCAAAATTTCCAATTTCCAACTTATATAGAAGGTAAATTTAATTCTAATAAAAAATAATAATAAAGTTAATAAGAACAAGATGTGGTGGCATTAGCAACACCCTATCTATCTATCTGTCTATCTACCTACCTATCTATACTTGTTCATACATACAAAATTTAAAAATCCATGATGTGTCAATACTACAATTATGAATATGTAGTACTACACAGCATTAAGCACTCAAATAGAATGTTCTAGAGCTATGTTACAATGCATAAAAATGAACTTTTACAATTTCAATTGGTGTGAGGATCACATCCACTTGAGAAATCTCAAATCCATGTGGATGATCAACATTCACACCCTATTGTGTTTCAAATCATTAATATTTCTATGAATGCGACTTGGGAGAACTCCCACCATCTGCAGCACGACCTCTGGTTTATTATGATCTATATCAACAAAACTCTCCAACAGGGCACAGTCTCACCTGGACAATGGCTGACGTTGCGTATGATACGTGGCAGCATGAACGGAGGTGCCACTTGGAAACTGGCATGATGCTGTCGAGCTTGCGTTCTAGAGAGAACGTCACCGTTGCAGCTCCATCTGCCTTCCAACGTCGCGCAAGCCCAGACACTTACTTCAAGCAGGAATCGGTTGATCACAGCAACTTGGACCTTACCAACATCTTCTCCAACTGCATCCCACAAGGTAAGCTTCCCTTTCCAGCCAGTCCTCTGCGATGTCCAGGTACAGAGGCCTACATCTTAGTATGTGTGGCTGCTTTTCCAAAGAATAACAACAGCAATAGGTTGAAGCAGCACCGTTTTCCGAAGGTTGGGAAAGGTTACTCCCATGAATGGTGAGGTTAGACTGAGGGTGTGATTCTCGTGACTATGTCCAGGACTGGGTGAAGAATCTGACGTAGCGTTCAAACAAAGTTTTTTTTTAGGGTAGCCTAAAATGCAAAAAGTTGAAGGAGGAGAGGACCGGAAGCCAACCCCCGAGGAGTTGGAGTCCGAGGTAGCGAAGGAGATGAGGGCAGCAGGCACTCACCGAGCACATGCTGAAGATGGGGAGAGCAAAGGCGTTGTGGACAAGCTCCAGAAGAATACGTCGAAAATCAAGGACGCAGCAGCGGAGAAGATGGATCAACTTGGAGACGCCGTGAAGGGCGCGTTCTCCTCAGAGAAGTAGAACTTAGAGCTCTAAGGTTATAGATTTCTCGAAGCGTGAGTGTACAGATGTGTATGCTCTAGTTTGCTGGGAGAGCTAATTTGCTTCAAGCAGATATTGTAAGCAAATAAAATGCACACAGATTAGGCCTCAGAAGGGCCTTCTCATTAACTGCTTAATCGTGCTCACTACGAACATGTTTTGATGTAAGTTAACGAACTCTTTAACACCGAAAGTTCGCAATGGACTGACGTCAATCCGTGGTGCAATGATCAAATATTCAGGAGATCTGAATGAACGCAGCTAGTTGTCGTGTAGGTGTGTCGGTAACCTGTTAACTGGATGCACTAATTAGCAATAGATCCAGTGAGCCTTGTTTGCTTTGGTTACTCAACAATTAACTTGAGATTGAAATTGAGTTCGAAATTGAGCCTCAAATTTCGAACCCAAATGATGATCTATGCTACAGATTCCGAATTCGCTCTCCAAATTTTTGAACCAATAGGCCCGTGTGATTAAACCATAATCTTATCACCTATAACCTTTTGTACTGTTCAATAAGCTTGGATGCGTGTAATCGAGATGTGGGATCCGTTGTACAACCAAGACTCCTCAAGAATGCGATCTGAGTAAAAACAAAAGCAGGGTTTAGAGGTGAACTAAAATGCAACAATAGGTAACAAGTTTAATGCCAAGCATTATCAGGTTGTAGAGACGAGAGAACCTGCTTTGATGTAGCAGCTGCTGCACTCATAGACCGCTCACTGCTCTGCTGCTGAAAATGTTCCTGCACAATTGAGGTTGCCCACAGAAATTCAGTCCTCGACATAGTTCTGAAGGGTTAAAATATTTCCGTTCTGAAGTTGAGTATATTGCCTGTGTGGACCTTGAATGTGATGCATACCTGAGCGCAATTTGTATTAACCGTTCAGATTCAACATATCATATTAATTCGGATCATACTGGACAGTGGGTACTTACTTGACGCTCAGCCTGGAACAGAGCCCGCTCCTCTGGTGGTAATCTTCCCCACTTTATCGCCTGAACAACTAATATCGTTGGTCAGGTCATACTCAGTTGAATATGAGTTACAGTGCGTGGTGACCATACTAATGGTCCTTTACGACAAAGATAGAATAACGTACTGGAGTAAAACCGGTGACTTACATTCGTTGCAAAGGCGAGGGCTGCATCATCCCTTAGACAACACTTCAGTGCGATTAAGACCTCCTGCAAAGTATCCCAGAAATCGTCAATTTTGGACGATAAGGGAACAATTGATCATACGACAATCGCGTAATAAACTGAAAATACACCCGAATGATGTTTTATGAAAAATCGGAATCAACCTTTAAACGGAGACCAAAGAAGCGGAAATCTAAGAGAGCATGAGCAACATCTCAAAGCATAGATAAATAGCGGAAGGGGGAACTCTACTTGACTAGGAAAGTGAATTGCGACTTAGGAAAGCTGATGAGCAGATGGTTTTTTAGCAGAAAAAAACAAATTTTAACAACATTCGGAACAGTATTGGAATTAATAGCAAAAAAACTTCAGCGATGAATGCTTCGACAATCAGCGCCATGGATGTACAAGGAGAGGTACCTTGTTCTTCGTTTTCTTGTTTCGCAATCGCTCGTCGACAACAAATCCTACCTGTGTTAAAAAAATTACTTCGCTAGGTCAATGGCTTTGTAATCATAAGGTAACAGCTGCGTAGATACCGGGTAACTTCAGGCTAAGATAACCAAGGAACGCAGTAAAGAAGCCAAGAACACACAGAAAACAAGAGATGCAAACCACGAGGCTTCCATGCTGACGTAAGCTTCATTTTTTCTATATCAGCGTTATCAGCTAACTCCACGCCATCACAACATATTTCGCGACATAAATACATTGTCTTTGAACCTTCGAGAGCAGACGCTTGGGATCTTGAAACGCAGGTTTCCTGGCCCAACTGTTGAATAATGCAGCAACAGTTGATCGTGCCTCCATGTTGAATCTGCAAAGATTAATTCTTCTTTAAACCAACAAATCTCAAATCAAAATCTTTTTCAGATATCATCAGCTTTCAGAACAATATAGGAGACTCTCATTCTAAAAACATGTTTATTTTCTCCCTAGTGCAAATATTTCAAATAAAAGTAACACTACCGTAAAGCACTACAGTTCATTAACCCATCCACAAACGAATTCGAAGACAGCGACTGTGATTACGATGCTATAGTTGCAAATAGTCATTAATATTTCTGATTCTTCACCCTCTCAAGAACATGCTTGCAGCAGCTCCATTCTCAGTGTCCATGGATAGAACGCTTTCCAAATCTCCATTCCTATTCGCATTTGTCTTCTCACATGCGCCTTCCTCAGAAGCAAAGATATTATGCACGTCGTTTAGGTCCACCCTACCAGCACTATCCTGCAAAACTGTGCTCTCTGTTGCGTTGTTTCCGGATGCTGTACTTGGGGTCGCACAGCTTGTCGGAAAGTCACACGGAAGGTCTCGACGAATTTCTGGAGAAGAGCCCTTATCTGGTATAGCTCCAGGGACATTAATTTTCTCACTTTCGCCCTGCACCTCAAGAATCACATAAACTGATAACTCAGCTCAAGCATAAATTGCTTTTGACAGCACAAGTACGCCGTGGCAGATTATATGAAATTACATAATTATCGTTAATAATCTTAAATTGAGTTTAAAATAAATTATAACTTAAAAATCATACTCGCAAGTTGCAGTGAATATATTTCGAATAATTATGTCAGGCAGCGGCAAACAGCTTGCCTCCAGCTTCGCGATCATAATTTCAAGAAATTTCACATTTTAGATCGGGTGACAGTGTAATCAACGAGTGCTTGTTGGCGATTTTTGAATTGCAATTATGTAGTTGATTCACAAGTAACTCCAAAAAGACTGTATTCTTGTCAACCTGGAAGTGCAAAAGTTGGCGTGGAAGCTCCTTTAAAAATCGAGAAGGTTGTAGGACCTGAAATGTAATAGCGCAGATCAGATTGTAGAAAATTGGTTCGTTACTAATATCGGGTCGGCTGCAAGATGTAGAGACACATCGTCTTAATCACCAATGAGTGCTACAGCTCGGAGAGATGCTTAAACTGATCGTACAAGCACATCTTAATTTCAATATATCTCACCTGGCGTAGACTGTCGGTTACCACATAGCAAATGTAGAGCTTCTTACGTGCGCGAGTCATGGCCACGTAGAAGAGGCGTCTTTCTTCCTGTTCAAAAAGCAAATCCACTTTCTTTGAGAAGATGCGGAAACCAGTGTTATAATTGCCTTGAGCTCATTAGATAGATGTGATTTTCTTAAATACTGCTAATATATATATATATATATATGTATATTTGCTGGAAGGTAAAAAGATATACTACAGACCTCAATTGAGCATGAGTCATCTGCCACTTGACCTTTTCCTTCATTCAGTAATGGTGTCTCTGTGTCGTTTGCCTTCACGCAAAACCAGATATTAGGGGAAAAAATTCAAATAAGTAGATTAGTGCTGTTTGGGTGATGCACTTAACTGCACGGTTTTTGGAGTAATTGACCATGCGTTAATAACGTAATGAACCCAGCTATTTTACTGTAATTTGCAAACGAAGACGAACGATGCAGTACGTTTGTAAGGAAAACGGTTCTAATAAAAGTGAGGCACGAGTGGTCACCCATTTGCAGCAGCAACATGTAGTAGTTGAAATGAAATTTTACAAAACATGATGAGACTACCTTCACGATGTAAACGGTGTCCCATTCCAGACCCTTAGACTGCACTCAGAAGCATACACAAGATTGTAGTCCTTGTCAGAGGTGAACAACAGCATTAGTTTCAATTCATTCCACCATGCACACGCTCTGATCAAGCTTGTCTGGGGAAACAGGAAATTTATTGGTGAAAAGAATAAAGTAATTGCTTTCGTATTCACCAGAAATAAGCTGTTTGCTTAATCAATACAAAATTTGTTGGTGGAAGTACCTGATGCATTGTAGTTAATGTTACTGAATTCTTATTATCTTGTTTCCTTTGCTGAAAATTCTCCGCTTCTCGACTTGAAAGGTGATCCAGGAAGGCTTTGAGTATGGACAGACAACCGCCCTCCTCTTGGGGGACTTGGCCACATACTATAGAATCATCTTCATCACATTGTGAGAATGAGCTGCAGAAGTTGCTTAAGAACTCACTCACGTCGTCCAAGAAGTACTCCAGCACCTACGAATCAAATATTGTATTGTATAATCCACGCTAAATTGAAGCTGGCAGCAACATGCAAGGACTGCCACCAAAAGTTTCACAAATATATTGCAGTCCCAAACATTCACATTCATTCGAAGCTTTTAATGCTCCAGTAATAAATCTATTGTGCAAATAGGCAGGTCGATTTACCGTTCTAGGATCATCATCCTCATTCAGCAGTTTTCCTCCATCCTCGTCCACTACTGCGCGTGAATTGAAGACAGGCCTCTGTATTCCACGATTGCAAATGCGATGGACATCCTCAGATGCATTCCTTGTACCATTTCTCAACATAAAGCGCATGGACTAGTGTGGAACATTCATTCCTTGGCAGAAAAGCGAAGCATCAAGAATGAATAAAATAACAAAATTATCATTAGTTGACTGCAGCGTACTTGAGGTAGTAAATTGACGACAGCGGTAACTAATCCGGACAACGACCGCTCCTAGCAACAACCACCACACCACAAGTCAGGTAATTGTCGTGTATAAAGTTTTGGAAAGACCACGTATGGAGTGCCGGCAAAGCACTTTCTGGTACAAGATTGAATCATCAAACAAGACTCGAATTCCAAACCGTGAACAACGATTATAAATCATGTCATTCCCTTTTAGTCTTGAGATCCAATTTCTGGTATGACATTTGAACAACCTTGTGTGCAAGGCAATGAACCATGTTTACAGAGGTGAGTACTCTCCTCCCCAAAGCAAGCTGCTTCCTGCACACGCCCAATCATAAACCTCAAAATATGATGGAGAATGCAATCGTCAGTACGATCAAGACGACCCTCCAATTGCGTCAGTTACACCTATCTTCCAAAACCAGCCACAGAGACATTATACAACACCAAAACTAGGAAAGCTACGGAAGAATAGAGGTTATTGATAATACGGGCTCAAAAACCTAAGCTATGGATGTATAATCACTACATGTGTCTCAAGATTAATAGGACAGTGCTGGATAAAATCGGACCTGCTGAAAGTGCCAGAAACCTTAGCAGTAAAAATCGTTTGTGCAGCTTGGTGGAAGCTTGTGTTACTACTTTTGGCAACTTTATCCACGTATTCAATAATCTGGAAGTTGAACCATGCTCAAAAAATTGACATTGAATGCCGGAAATTTTAGTTCATAAATCAACACGTGCAAGTCGTTTCAAAGTGAACTCAAAAACTTTTCGATTTATAAAAGGTGAAGTTCCTCTAGCGTCGCATTATCGAAGTCAAACAAATAATCGGACATGGAATCACATCATTGGCTAAGCTGCCATTTCTAACGCTCACCTTTTTGCATTCGGATTTGTCCCCAGAATATAATGCCTTCAGCACTCGACGCCAATAAATGTCCGTGTTGCCTGGTAGAACAGTCCGAAGCATTGAAATGACGCTTTTTATAATCTGCAAGAATCATGAATATTATAGAGACCTTGTCTGCTTGAATGATCAGATACATTGCTGAGACGTTTGAGTTAAAAATTCTCTTTAAGACAGCATTACAGGAAGAATGTACAGTATATACTTTTTTGCGATAGAACGCAACTCCGTGCACGTTAAATGGGATCTTGCGGGATCGAAAGGCACTCTGAAACATCCTTCCAGTTACCTGCGCATGGATACACTACTGTCGCTCTTGAAACTGTCGGAGAGAAGCTTCGTGTTCGGGAAACAAATGAAAAAAATTGAGTCAACGCATAAACCATACAACAGACCTGGTGCACTTACCTGGCGACGATACAGTACAGCTATGCCTCCAAATGTAGGATTCGATGAACCTTGTCCAGCAGCATTCGTGAGGATAGAGTCTACGACGAACGAGCATTCTGCTGCCTCCGTTCGGCACTCCATCACCGCAATCTACTTGCAATGGCTCTTAAGGGTTAGCTTCGTCTGCGGGACTTGTCAAACATGTTTCTGAATAATCGTAAACTCTTGTTGCTTGGAGGTCAGCATAAGAAAAGTATGGAAATAAGCATAAAATTCTCTAATATGGACAGAGATAGGAACGAAGCTAGAGAAAACAAATAAAACGAACAAAATCATGAATACCTACCAAGAAGTTCTAGCGGGAATTAAATATCTAACTTCAACTGGTTTGCGACATGGCAAACACGAGGCCAGGGATTATGACAAAATACCTTTTCACCGACATCATTGAGTGTGTGGGCTTGCTTTTCCTGACAACGTTTCTTGTTATGTTGTATCAATGAAGTGGCCGCCTCTACTATAGACCGAGTAGATCGATAGTTTTGATGTAATCTTACCTGTCAAGACAGCACATGAAGTGTGTTACCTCACTTTAAACTTGAATGGCAGTAAAATGAGACCAAAACATCACACTTTCCCTTGGAAGTTGAAACCAATGGTGCAGAAACATGAAGTTCAACTTTCATATTGACAAGCTTAATACAAGTGAACGATTTAGAGTCAAGTTTAAAAAAGCCGCACCTCCTTCAGCATAGGGAAATCTCGGCGAAAAGAGTCAAATCCACGGGCATTTGCTCCATTAAAGCTAAAAATAGACTGCATTTAATAAAAAGAACGGAGTTAAAAGGAAAATTCTTCAACTTCATGTGATCGGAAGCATTGGTAATTCAGGGGGAGTCATGCAGCTTTGAGACAAATATCTGATACTCAGACTTATTTTTGACTCAATGATCATGCTAATCTAAGTGATCTAAAATTATTAAAACAATCATGACAATGCCATTGGCAAAACTCACCGCACCCTAGTACAATTCGTACTGATAATTGCTCAACATTGCCAACATGAAATAAGAGATACATGGAGATTAAAGCAATTAAATACAGTTCTGCAGTTATCTACAATAGAATAGCTGTATTACCTGATCATCATCCCCAACAATTGTAACACGGTTGTGTGATGCGAGAAGCCGAAGGAATCGATACTGCATCCTGCTTGTGTCTTGGAACTCGTCTACCAGCACACAAGTCCATGTCTTCTGGCATTCATCCAGCACTGTTCCTTCCCATATTTAATCAAGCGTGTCTATTTGGAACATCGCTAGCATGTAGCTCACTAGTAATACACTGTACATCACCAATGGCAGGAAGCTTTGTGACATGAAGATTCGTTCATTCACAAAGACCAGAACGTTTCAGAAGTTTTGAGTGATTTGGTATACCTTCGGGATATTTCTCAAGCAAGAACACAGCAAAACTGATAAAATCATGGTAATCCATTGCGTCGCAAGCAGCTAAGGTCGCCTCATAATGCCTCAAGACAGAAGCCTGCACCAAGAACTAGGAGTTACAAGTAAGCTCCGCGTTATTGGGAAATTCCTAAGGTCTCTAAGGAAAATTGACGGGGTTTTGTGGACCCTAGTAGAAAATTAAATTGCCATGAATACAACATTTAATCCACAAAAGTCCCCTCCCCACTAAGACATAAACAAAAATATGAAAACTCACCCCAACTGCGTTTCCCATTTTCTCATAGTCCAGTGAAGTCCTTCCAGCAGACTTTGCCTTAAAATAGCACACGACTGACCCAAGTAAGAAAATCCGCAAGGAAGACAAAAGAGAAGGTGGTATGAATTGCGCTGTTAAATGAACCCATTGTCAACTTGCTAGGTTACCAAAATGGCATGATGTGTGTTTATATTACTGTAAGAGCATGGTCGAGAATACTCTTTGCTATTAGATGCCTAGCAAATATTGGGATTACGCAATGAATATACTGGCATATGTTGTCAATAACGTGTTAAGGTACCGTGGGTCGCATTTGTGTGATGAGATACAATATCAGGTGTATAACAATAGAGGACTTCAGCAGGTTTCGAGCATACTTGCGTGACAAACTGTTGCCATTTTTTGGCCTTGTCCTTCCACATTGATGGATTAGAGTTACTGTCTGTTACACTTCCTTCTGTTATTGAAGTATCGATCTCAGCAGATTCACCCTGACCAGTCTGAATTTCTATTGTTGCCAGTCGAGTGGCCTCAATGACGGCTCTCCTTTGCTGTCCATGCCCATACACAAGGAACTCTGCAGAGCGTCCTAACCTGCCAATATGACGACTAAGAATGTGATGCTCAGAGCTCCTGCGACTACATGCTGCAGCAATAATGCACTTTTGTGCATGAAAAAGTTTACGAAGCAGAAAGTGAACAAAAGGAAGACATGTCCACACATAGTCATCACTACTGAATACAATTTCCTGACCAAAATTGAGTTTCTCTCCTGTACTTGACAGACTCACTTATCTACGTGAGCTCGGCAAAGCTGTAGACAAAACGAATGAAATGTCGAAATTGTGAGCTCCTTAGAAATAGCTTTGCCTGTTGCTACTGCTACACGTTGTCTCATCTCGGTCGCTGCAGCGGTTGTGAAGGTCATGGCCAGAATGCACTTTGCCTCTATCCCCTGCAGAAAATTTAAAAGAGTGAAGGTGTGAACCTGTCCAACACTTGTACAAAATTTCAGATTTCAGATTTCAAGAACATACCCGACAAGAAACATGGCAATGTGATTACAGGTTTCAGCTATGCGTGCCTAATTAAGCAACGCACTAGCAGCAACTGTTAAGACTGATATTTCCTTGAAATTAGTTGTACCTCTGTGAGAAGTGTCAGAAGCCGTGCAACCATTGTGGATGTCTGCATAGAATGTTCGGTATGATATCAGAATGGCACACGTCACGGAATTGTAAGAACCTTGCGCATGTCAATTATCACATACAACATTAACTGATGTACGGTGTACCCCATGTATACGAAGACCCTACCTTACCACTTCCAGGCCCCGCCAAAATTAGCAACGGCTTCAGAGTATCACTCAAAGCGGCTTCTCTCTGAGAATCGTTCAACTTTTTTAAGTGGTCTGGAAGTTCTGCATCACAAGTGGTTTTATCGGTCGATTGGGCAGTCAGAGGTGACACTACCGAAACACTATAACTGGCGAAGTTCACTTTTGGTGGAGAGGATATAGATTTAGAACTATCGTGAGGAATTCCTGTCACTGTGGTTGTGTAATCCGCAGTCGAATATTGTGTGGCAAGGACGCCATCTCCCAAGACTGGCAGCTCATTTAAACAACGATCTCTAGAAAAGCCGGGCTCTCCTCCAAGAATTACATCTGCCGAAATCTTATGGTCAGGCATGTGAGAAGATACACTAGAAGGTTCCGTCACAGTTGAACATGCAACTGAAGCTGACCCTTGTGATGGTTGCATTTTCAGGCCATGATGAGAATCTAAATGCTGCACAACAGGATCCTGCACGGTAGGGAGTAAAGCCGTAGAGCACAGCCCGGGTGCAAGCTTGGAGGAGGATTCGATGCATTCCGCAGTTGTCGCAGTGGGATGCTTCGACTGTTTCTTGCATATTTCATCCAATTCTTGCAGAATATCTTCGTCAAAATCTTCACATATATCCCCAGGTAAAACATACTCAAACTCTCTTTCTCCTGGTGGACATTCCTTGGACGATACATCAGACACAGAAGTTTGGAATAATGCTGGCATCTTACAGGAGCCACCGGAGGAGTCTTCTACGAAATCGCAGCAAGTTGATGAGGTGTTAAGAGATGCTCCAGACTGTGGACTCACCAAAATATTATTCGCTGGTATTAATTGTAAAGGTGTCCTCTCCCCTCGATCTGGCAGGGTTAGATTGCACATTCTCTTAGCAGGAGTTGGACTCCTGATACAAAAATTAAGTCAATTCAGTATTTTTAAAACAGAAAAAATGCGGCCAAGTGAACATGTGTGCAAACAAGGATTGTCCAAAACTAGAGAAACTAGATCTACGATACTAGAACAACTAGACTTCTTACTCCAGGTCATTGATCTGATGTAGAGCAAATGCTACCTACTTAGTTTCTGCAAGATCATCAACTACTATCAAACAAAAAACGAATTTAATATGCTTAAAAAATAGAGTGATTGAAGACTACATTTGAAGCCTTATAACTAGTTCGAGGGATTATTAATTGAGAGAAACGAAATTCATGACACCAATGAGAAAATCACTATAAAGGACAGGAAGTAACACCTGAAGTTCGAAGATGTTTGAGGAAACCATTCTCCATGGACTATCTGCATTGGATGTTCATTCTCCACATTGCAAGAATTTGCAGGAAGAGGAAGAACCGAACACGAAGGAGACGATGGATATGGGCGTTTCTGAGCAAGCTTGGCTTTGGCAGCACGGAAATTATCCGTGATCCTCCGTTGCTGCTGCTCGCTGAGCCTAGCGCTCGATCCTGTCGACATTATCAGCTACTCTGCGAAAAGCACCAATCGCAGTCAGCAAATTCCATAAGATCCTCACTGCTTACGACCGCAGCGCCATAAGGAAACTTCTTACATTCGCTCCAAAAGACTGATCTCACAACCAACCCGCTACTCACTCGCCAACTCCGTTACTCAAAAGAAGAAGAAGAAAAATATAAATATAAAAACTCCGACAGATAATGCTCTCACCTTCGAATTCTCATCGATAGACCAACGTCCAGTATTGCCACATTCCGAAGCAGTTGACGATTCAGTGCTTCGATTTCCTCATCACGAACGTTCCACTTCTAAAACGAGGAACCCCGGAGGCTTCACCAAGAAGCCACATTCAATATGAAAACTTAAATCTAAATAAGAGGGGAACTAGATCCGATAAATCTTCATTTAGGTTACAGTTTCTGGGGCTTCACTTGTGACGCTTCAAAGCCCCGGTGACAGCTTCCACGAAGCCTGGTTCTTCAGCAGAAGTGTATCCGTTTCACAAGGTAGACTTATAAACACTTTAAAGTATAATTACAAAATACGAGAAAGTAAACGTTGTGGTTTAATGCAAAAAGACTGAAAGGGAGTCCACATTGTGAAAGATGGTTACCGTTTTTTAATGTGAAGCAAGACCACTGTGAAAATTCGATACAATGCATTTCGTATGTTTTATTTTAGGTAGATTTTATACTAGGGATAAAAGATAAGAAGTCACAACTTTCAAATTTAAAAATTGGTTGAAAAATTTTGTTTAGTCAATTGCATAGTGAGGTAAATAAATTCATTTGCTTTAAAGAAAAAAGATGACGTAAAATTTATTTTAGGCTCTAGTTACAAGCACACTCCAAGTTGCTATACACACACCTACTATATCTGTACACACACCCAAGGCTTCTAATTGGCTCATCTGGATCCCTTTTTCTTGTCTCAATGCAGGTTCCGATCAATATCCTCTTTTTCCTTGCCTTGGCATGAATCTTGATCCCCCTCCTTGACAAAGAAGAGAGAGTAAAGGGGACCAAGACCTACACTGAAGTAACAAAGAGGGAGGGAGGCTACGACCCATGCAGGGGCAAGGAAGAGAAGGACGGGGATTAGGACCCACACCATAGAAAGGAAGAGAGACAGGACCCACATTGAGATAAGAGATAGGAGGCCTTTGGAACTTGCGCCAAGAAGAAAAAAGGAATTTGGATGAGGCAATCACAAGCCTTAGGTGTGTATAGACATAATAGATATGCACATGGCAACTTGGGGTGTGATTGTAGCGTGAGCCTTTATTTTAATATTTATATAATATGAAAAGTGTTGATTCCTATAAATTTTAATATATCCACATCAAATGGTGGTTTTACAAGAAATTGAGATTTAATGTTTGGATGTAACTAAAATAATTATTAAAAACACAAAATTAAATTCTTAATTTTTGATATAATTTTTATAATCAAAATATTTTTTAATATATTTTAATTTTTAATTAAATAATAAAATTTTCAATTAAATAGTCTCTTGTTATTTCAGAATATTTTCAAAAGCTAAAGTTTCAAAAAATTCATTTTTACACAAAAACGAAACTTCTTATGAGATATTTATATCATGATCTTTCAAAATAGGCTTCTAAGAATAAATAATTATTTAAAGTGAACTTTTTTTAATTACACAAAAAAACAGAAACAAATAAAAAATGGAAGTAAATGACAATATTGAATATTTAGAATATTAAAATTTTCGCTTCAAAGTATTATATTGTCAACAATATTACAATAAAATGAAAAATGACACGTATTTATTAATCATAAATTATATTTAAATTCGAAATATTTTTTAAATTATTAAAAATACAAAAAATGAACATGATTCATTAAATTGCATTACAAATGATACTTTGAGTATTTATTAAATAATTTGGTTCATTAGTAAATCTGAATTCCTATAATAGATAAGCATGCCAAACTGTGCAAACTTCTTGCATTATAACACCATTATAATAAAAAGGCAATATAATACTATACGCGTCTAAGGTTGCTTCAAACTTTAAAGAATTTACGGACAATTAGTATGTTGGTTAATTCTTTAAAGTCTTAGAAAAAAAAAAAAAACTATCTCAATCGTAGTTAAGTCTCTTTTTTGAACACATGAAATTATATTTTATTTTTATTGTTATTAAATAATATTTATTTCATAAAACAGCTTAGATGTAAGATAAAATGACAAAGAAGTCTTGTTATTGGCCATGAAGAGGGGAACACAAGAACATGGGAGCACAAAAACGTGGGGTTTTTTGAGGCACCATAATTTATTAGAGACTGGACCTTGGAGCTTTTACAAGCTTTTCCATGTTTAGTGACACATTTTTCCATTGGTATAAGTGTGTACATGCTTCCCATCTTTCAAATTTAATTTGACACCACCAACTATGATCGTGTGTTTTAATTATTCCATTTAAGACTTCTGACATATGTTTTCATCAAAAAGAATGTTGTATTTTCTAAACCTAAGACTAATGCAACTTAAATAAGATTCAAAATAATAACTTCATAGTTTTAAAATGATTGGTCTGAACAAATACACATCTTCAGATCTCAATCTTCATTTTAAACATGTTTGAGAGAGAAAAAAAATCTTCCATGAAATCATAATACATCCAGTATTTCCAAAGTTTGTTTTACAGTTTTAAATTTATTGACTTCTCTTTTTTTTTTTAACAACCCAAAAATAAAATTAAAATGTCTATTGATTTAATTTATTTTAACCTCCAGACCATTCTACATAACCTCAATACACATTGATAGTGTTCTTCCTTTTCCTTTTGACAGCCACCATTTGACGTCAAAATAAGGTTATTTTAACCACAATTTTACTTGTGTTACAAAAACTTGTTTGATGTTGTATGAGTACTACCATGAATATTCCAATTCAAATATTAAATATTTATTGGAAAAAGACAATTTGATGGGTTTCTTTGGCATTTTCCCCCACAAGTCCAAATCCTTCACAAGTTTGTGATATGAGATGGACTATGTCACCCTTGCATCAATCCATCAGACTATTTTTGTGTCAAGTCTGCAATTTTCTATTCTTTCATTTTATTAAAATGCTATGGTTTTTCTGTTCCAAGTAGACTCTTGTGCACCACCTTAATTCCAGGACCTTTCTTTAAAGAAATGTGCACGGTATTGACAGAGGTTATAATGTTGTTATTAAAAACATTGTACTAAAAAAGTGTATCCTTTGACTCTATGAAAGACTCAAGATAATTTTTGAATTTATTCATGTTTATTTTTTTGAAAAGTTGTAGCATAAAAATGTTGTGATTACAACACTTGGCTTCTTTTTTGAAGGTGTTGTAGAGAATCTAATTGAAAAATAATCAAAGTAATATGCTGGTTATTGGTAACCATTTTGCAAAATGACTCATCTTTAAGACACAATCACCACATCTGTTTTTACCATTTATTTAAAATATATTACACCGTACACAGGAACAATATTATGCCAAGTATTTAAAATAAAGTCTATCATATTTTGTAAACTAAGTGTAAACTGTGTTTGAATATCATCACTTCCAACAACCCATGACAAATAGAACACCTTTTGAAGTTAATCTTGAGTATATGAGAAATATCCTGCATGTCTACAACAAATCTTAAATAAATCTATTTAGTTTATTCACACACACAGGGGCATGCAGTGTTATCTTTAGCACTTCTTGAATAGACACATGACAAGATCTGAGTTTACATATTTACCCAAAAAATAAATTTTACTAGTAGACTATAAACTAATGTTAATTATATTTTATCCACCATCGAGTGATTTTAGGAAGAATCTTAGGTCTAATGTAGTTCAAGGGTATGTAAGATTGAGAAACTATTTTCGTTTGTTTTTCTATTTTTGTTGTTTCTTGTTTGTTTGTATTGTTGTTGTTGTTGTGTTTTTGTGTTTGTAAATCAAAAAGTTTAAAAAGTTTACTCATATACATATAATATAAATTTTATTAGTATTTCAAATTAAGTTTTATTATTATTTTTTTTTTATATCCATTACCTTATGTTTCAAGTATACTATTGTAAGAAATTTGATCAATGAACCAATTTATCATTTATTTATATTTTTGGGGACTGTAAAATCGACAAAGGTTTTTACTAAATTGTTCCACCCATGATGAAGAATATGATAATCATGATGAAGATGGTTGGTTTTCATTAGTTTGGATCTAGTAGTGGGGAAATGAAAGTAGAAATGATTTTATTTTTTTCATTTTCATTTTTTTTTTATTTCATGATGGTGAGGATGGGTGGATAAATTTAGTAAAAACTCACATCAATTTAACATTCTCCATAGTTTTATGTAACTTTTCTTAGAGGCATATAAGATTACAAGTTAATAAATACACAATTATTCTTACCTCCTTTGAATAACATGTTAATTTACCAAAAGCAACTTTAGTCCTTGCATTTTTTAATATGCATCTTCTTTGTTTAACATTATGTATCAATATTCTGGTGATTGTGTGTGTGTGTGTGTGTGTGTGTTTCGTTTTCTTTTTTGTTTTGTTTTGTTTTTTTTGATTTTTCTGATATTTTTTGAATAACGTACACTGAGTACATAATATGCTCTGTACACATTAAATTTTCTGTTCACATTTTTTGATTCGGTCAGCTCAAAATTAGAGACTTTATTAATTTTTTCAATAAATGCTTGTTACAAAATAGTTGAATACGCATTAAACTCGAAGTAATCATCATTAACAATCAATCTTTTCATAGTGACAATCTTCATTCGTGGTTGTTGATTATGTGTCACATATTGAAAATACACATGTCACAAGTCACATCCTTTCCGACTTTTCTGTGCAAATTAAAAAGTTATTCAAGGATGTAGAGAGCCATAGTGCAATGGACAATGTTAATACCAAATCAGTATTTACCAAATCTTGCACAAGAATATTAGTGAATTTTTTTTCTTTCCATCATAATAGAATTTTAATTTTAACGTGAAAAAAAAACCTTAGCATATAAAAACTATTTTCAGTCGTCTGTTAGTTTCATCCAAAGGATGAAGTTATACAACATATTCAAGGCATGTACCACGCGAAGTCGACACAGACCGACGATTTACATCCACAACTCGTCCTTTAAGCAGGTCCATAATTCATCCACGGATTATACGAAAATTGTCGCAATCACAGGCAACAGCGGATGGAACGGTCATGGCAACGGGAACACTTTCCACGCAGAATGGCATATCCACGGCGTGGCGCCAATACGAACCCCATCGTGCCCGTTCGCGGGAACAAGGGGAACGCGGTCGTTTTCTACAGCCCAGCCAGCGAACCAGCCGGCCAGCCGAATCAGCGCGGGAGAGGGAAGAACGCCGACGGGTAGAGAGAGTGGGGTCGAAAGCAGGGCCAGCTTCAAATTTCAAATTAACATTGTAGCTGGACGCATGGGATACCACGGTCACGGCAATTTATTTCATTATTGGCAATAGGGTGGGGCGGAGAAGGGCGGGAATAGGAGCATGGAGGTCACGCCATAATGGCCATTCTTGTATGTAAAGAAATGGAGATGGGCAGGGAAGGAAGCCCTGGGAGCAGAGAACAAGGTCTCGAGAGGTAAGGGTTTGCTTTTTGATCGAACCCCATCGAGGGAGGGATCTCGTAGAATTGCAGGGCTCGGGTCATTCCCATGAGAAGCTGAACTGCTGGAAGGGTTAAGGTGTTTACAGCTGCACTGGTGCCGAATGGTTGTGGTGGTTATGGCTGGAATTTGAGAGTGAGTTTGAGAGTGGTGGGCAGCGTACTACTGCGGTGTGGGGCATTCGTTTTTTGGTTTTTGCGGGTTTTTGTGGCCATGCTATGGCGAGACTCAGTGAGAGTCGTTGTGGTGGAGGAGGTGCCTTGGAAGTGTAGGAGAGTTGACGGCCAGTCGTTGGAGAGATAGAGCGAGAAAGAGACCGATAGGAAGGAGACGAGAGGAAAGCGGAAGATGGGAGGGAAACGGTTCTGATGCATCAGGTCATGTAGGGCAAGGTCCTGCCAGACGTGAGTTGGGGTTACCTTGGGTCGTCGGTTGGGAGGTCGAGGTATGGAGTCGATGAGCAAGGTGAGGATGAGCCCGAGGCCGACATGCGGGCGCCGAATAGTGGCTGGAAAGCGTCCACGACCTGATGACTCCAAGAACTGTGTGCGGAAGCTTCTGAAGCGGGAAATAAGTCGGGCAGGGAATTGGTCGTTCAACCGTACCAACTCGCAGGAGAAGTTCCGGAACTTTCATCTTCAGGTGGGTTGTGAGCGTTTGTGTCGTATTTGTGTGGGTAATCGCTCGTCACTTCCTGGGCACAAACGGCTTCGTGGGTGTTTCTTACGTTAGTAATTGGCTCATCGCTTAGGGCGTTTTGTTACAGTTAAGCTCAATCAGGTTGTAAACGCCGAAAGATTCGCGGTAGGAGTTGTCTTCCTTAGTTTGGACTTTTACTCGAATGTAGAGTCGAGTTTTGCAGTCGATCGTTTTTTGTTTTTTACTTGTTTGTTTCTTTTGTGGACACTTTCTTAGGTCTTATCATCAGATATTATTTCAATGGTCGAGACGGTCGTTTGATTTGTTCGGCTTTAATATATCACGTAATCCTCTCATTGTGCGTGGTGCTTGCGGGGAATAGGGTTCATCAAAATGGTTTTCTACGTTCCTGGTGTGGCACTCGATTTGTAACTTGTCATGTATGTCTGCCACTTACTGTATGCTTCTTGTGATTGTCTCTGGTCTCAGTGATTATGATACAAAAATGAAACGACTCGTTGACTGTCAGACCACGTTGTCGTCGACTGAGATTGACTTTGACCTTGCAGTCCTTAGGTCTGTTCAAAATCCTTTCATCGTATTTCTGTCTCTTCAATCAGAGTAGAAATCACTGCGTGGAGACTATTTATAACTGTTTTAGAATGTGGATGGTCTAAAACATGGCTTTGTTACGACACTGTCATCTGGTATGTGAGCTAGCTAGGATACGAGTCTCTGTTGTAGCTGTTTAATTGCCTTGTTTCTGAAAGATGTCATTCACTTACGTTTACTAGAAGCGGCATTTTTGAGGTCCATCTATGAAACATCGAGTTCTTCCTTCCCAACGTACTCTCTGCGCACTCTTCGACTGGTTCTATGCCTTTTTCCTGTTATGATTATTGCACTGTTCTTATCTTCAATCCTGGAGTAGAGATAATGTCAACCCGTTTGTCAAGACGGTATTAGATTCAGCTGTATTGGAGCTTTGGTGGAATCTGATCTACATTGTGTAGCTTAATCAGTGTGGCACGAATCAGATGCTGGGACTACTCTGTGCCCTTTTTTCAGAGTTGCACTAGGGTGCCAAGTTTAATTTGTAGGTTTTTGTCATTGTGTATAGTTGCTCATTTTTCACTTCTGGCACCCTTCTAATTTTTTCAGGAGGAGTTTGATACGCATGATCCTAAGGCCCATCAGTTCTTGAAACTACCATTCTTGAAGAAGAGATCCAGAATAGTGGAGATTGTGGCTGCTCGAGATACAGTGTTTGCATTGACACATTCAGGAATATGTGCCGCCTTTAGCAGAGGTTTGATGCTGATCTATGTGCAGTACATTGTCTGATGTCACTTTGAGTATGAAAGACCTAAATATGGTATTTATTTAATGGTGGCTCATTTTTACGATCTGACAGACACAAACAAGAGGATATGCTTTCTCAACATCAGTGCCGATGAAGTGATCCGCAGCCTTTTTTACAACAAGAACAACGATTCGTTAATAACTGTGTCTGTTTATGCTTCCGATAACTTCAGCTCATTAAAGTGCAGGACGACACCCATTGAGTAAGCACTATTGTTGGACGCTGATTCAATAGCGTTTAATAGTTTAATGATTTGGTTGCTTTGCATTAATCTGCGTAGCATGATTGGTGGATGTGTTGGGTGCTTATGAACTTAGACTTGTCGAGAAGGAGCCTGTTTTGTCCATGCTACTGCAGTTTTCATTCAAATTCAAAGGCTTCTAGAGATTAGAGTATCCCAACCCTGCTATGCAATTTCAGGTGCATGTACCAAGTCTAGCTGCCTGTCATGTATATGGAGGGCTTGGATATGTAATGAACCATAGTTTTGGAATTGTGAGACATGCACGTTATTCTGTTGCTTTCTAACGTTTTAGTCCAACAGGTACATCCGGAGGGGGCAGCCTGGTGCAGGATTTTCTCTTTTTGAGTCAGAATCTTTGAGATGGCCCGGGTTCGTTGAGTTTGATGATGTCAATGGGAAGGTTCTCACATATTCTGCACAAGATAGGTATCAGCGTTGTACGTATGGAACCCTTCAGTTGCAGTGAACTATTTTCAATTTGAACTTCAAATTATACCGCGTTTCTATGTTCCTTCTGCTACGCAGCTACGTTCTGAGTAGCGCTTTTGATTCTGAAATGTATTTGCTGTGGTACTGCTCATGTGAAACTAGTTTAAGTTTTTTCCATTTGTATCCATAATTTGTGAGAAGGGTTGATATTCTGCTTCTGATATCGAACTTGGGATGACCCTAACAGAATTTACAAGGTGTTTGATCTGAAGAATTACACAATGCTGTATTCTATATCTGACGAGCACGTGCAAGAAATCAAAATAAGGTGACTTTCTCTTTCTTGTCTCTAAACTCACGCATACCAGTAAGTTCTGCTCGATTCTTTAAGGATCAGTGTGCCTTATTTCTGTTTATTTTTCATTGGATGGTTTTGCTTACAGTTTATGTTGTTTTCTTGTCAGCCCTGGGATTATGCTGTTAATCTTTGACAGAGCACAGAGTCATGTGCCCCTGAAGATTCTGTCCATTGAAGATGGTTCCGTCTTGAAAGCTTTTAATCATCTTCTTCATCGAAACAAAAAAGTTGACTTTATTGAACAGTTCAACGAGAAACTGCTTGTCAAGCAAGAAAATGAGAATCTGCAAATTCTTGATGTGAGTTTCATTGAAAACGAAGTAAATCTCCATTTTTGAATCTCCTGAGTTGCTTGAACTATTCGATATCGATTTCTTTAGAGATTGTGCGTTTGATGCTGTATTCTGTCTACAATATGGTCGGTGCTAATGTCTGAAATACCAATTTGCAGGTTAGGAACTCTCAAATGACAGAAGTAAGCAGAACTGAGTTCATGACACCCTCCGCATTCATATTCTTGTATGAGAATCAGCTATTTCTTACATTCCGCAACAGAACGGTTGCTGTGTGGAACTTTAGGGGAGAGCTGGTCACGTCGTTTGAGGATCACCTACTATGGTATCCTGATTGCAATACAAATAACATATATATCACCAGTGAACAAGATCTCATCATTTCATATTGCAAGGCTCACCCGGACAATTCTGCCGAGGAAGGTATGACCGATGCTTTGCTGGTATGTGGGTTGGTGTGCTTCTGAAAGAGAACGAAATTTGAAAACTCTTCGTGTAGCTACGTCGTTGACTTTGAATATATAATCTTCTTTAATTTAATAATTTTCAGTATCTTTTCAATGTGACATTTTTTTTATTTATATCTCGCTTTGCTGATGCAGTTGGTTCTATTAATATCAGCAACATCCTGACTGGGAAGTGTCTCGCAAAAATTAGGGCGGATGACCCTAGTGTTGGAGTCAGCCCTCGAACGCGTTCCAATTCCTCAAATATCAGAAGCTCTGTGCAGGAAGCTCTAGAGGATGTTACTGCTTTGTTTTACGATGAAGAAAGGAACGAGATTTACACTGGAAACCGGCATGGACTAGTGCATGTTTGGTCAAACTAGGTTTATCTGGGGAAATTTACAGTTCGTTAGATTTTTCTTATCTGGTGGGTATACTCGTGATAAATCTTTGGCTACTCTTCATGTCGACAATCTCTGTTGTGTGTCAAAACACGACCTCAGCTGATGTTACCGATTCAGCAGTTGGGCAATCTTTCAACTGGCTGTACCCGATGTAAGAATCTTGGATGTCACTTCTCGAGACAGTGGTGGAACTTATCAAGGCTGAGGTGGGAATGTACGTGATGGTGTTCTTCATCAGCATGCGTTCTGATGTAGAGGCTGGCTGTGACTCCGCATACTGGTACTGTTGGGCTTATTAGAGATGGTAAAGCGTCAGTAACGCTTAGTTTGTTCGTCCGAGCTGCTGTATCTCAATTGATACTTGGAATACGCATTCAATATCCAGCTTTTGGATCAACGGACCGGTATAGGACCCTGGCAGTTTCGAACACTATGTACAAGAAACGATCCAGACAAGTTATTAGTGAAGGTTATCCTTTTTGAGAAAGCTTTTGCTTTCTGGATAAATTTATAAATGTATACTTTGTAGATGAGCTAGAGTTTCAAGAAAAACAGAATGTGGTCACTGTAATTTTAAAGCTTGAGGCCTCAGTAAAATCATGATTGATTAATATATCTACTGTGACACTCTCTCCTGTCGGGAACCTGTGTGGACTGAATTGAGATATGAAAGTGCATTTGCGTTGTGGGCGTATTGTATATGAATGGTGGGTCCTCGTGCAGGGAGAATCATAAGCATCACTTATTCCTATGGACATTCTTTCCAGAAGTTTTGTGTATCTTGTAGGTCGATGGTGTTGCAATGATCGGTATGTAGAAGGATATGTGAAATATTTTGTAGATGAGCTGGAGTTTCACTTTTATCAAATGTCACTTAGAAAATTATGTTGCACTTACTTTATGTGCCCCCTTAGGTTCTCAAATGTGAAACATTATATATTACATCATGAGGTATGCAGACCATGACATTATTTTAAGGAATTCTTCTAAGTGTTGATGGGTAAAATATAGAGCTTTGATAAATGAAATATATGATAAAATTATACTACATAAAAAAACATGAACTATCACTTCAACTTTATTTTATTTTATTTTATTTTTTAAATTTCTAAATACAAGTGTGCTTTGTTAGCACATTCTTTTTTTAAAAAATTTTTGATACAATTATCTAACATTCCTAATCTCAAAATGACTTTGTAAACATAGATTTGCATTGTTAATTGTTATTTGCTATTTTGCACCTGTTACAAGATTTCTTGTTTAAATCATCTCTTGAGTATATTAGCAAAATGTCTCCTATTAGTTATAACTTAATACTATAGCAAACCAAGTGATATAACTATGTGCATAACAATTGGTTGCTACTAATATACTTGCCTTGCTATTGTCAAACTATTGTATATAAAAGTTAAATAAGATGTAGTTTGAAAAAGGTTTTTTGTAAATTAGTCTACTTTCTAAAATCTGTAACACATTTGAGAATAATTTATTGAATTATTTACAAAATAATGCACATTATGTGCAATTTATTTCATGCCATCATTTTTTTCTATGTTATTTAAAAGCTTTTCACTTGTAAATATTTTGATTTAATCATAATAATAATAAAATAAAAAATTATTATTATTATTATATTCAATTAAATATCTTTAGTACTAGGGAGAAGCATAGATAATACATAGATGTTTGATTAATGCCTATAAAACACATAATCTTTATTAGAAATACTGTAGCAAAAATAAGTACTAAATTTAAAATTACAAAAATATCCAAATAAATACAATGATGCCACTTGCATCAATTGTTTTTTGGGAATCAGCATTCACTAATTTGCATTGTAGGTGCTTGAGTTAGGGCAAAAGATTTTACTCATCACCCATTGTTTCTAAGCGTGGAGTTAGATTGTATCTAAAAAAATGGAGAGAAAGAGAAAACAAAAGACTTCATCAAATAAAAAATTCTATGTTTTACTAGATGAATATCACAAAAAAATCTATTAGACATGATAAATATGATTTGAATCTACATGATGACAATAAGTAAACCACAACACTAATATTTAATTATCTCATTTACATTAGTTTATTTTAAATATTGCATCTTTTCTTAAACTACCAATTGGCCATTCTTATCTACTCTTAGACCATTTTTATCACCCTTTAGACCACCATCAAAAAACTTATAAGTTAGAAAACTCTTCATTTGTATAACCATCTACTATTTACCCTCATTTAATACCTAAAATGAGGAGGGTTCCCAACCGTCTCTCGCATGCTTCCCCTATGCCCGCCCACTTTGTGCGGTCGCTCATCGGAACCCGCCTCTTCTCCTCTTTTCAGGGCCTGTCCTAAGCTCGGTTACCCCTGCACGCAGTTCTTGAAATCTTGATCAGGCCTTTGTTATCGAATGAGTCTCTCGTCATCTGCTCTGTTGCTGCGATCGATCGAGCAGGAGCACTCGGAAAAATTACGAGTGCCTCGAGGTTTTTTCGTTTTGTTGTGGTTGTAGGTTGTGAAAGGGCTTCGAGAGGCGTGGTTGAGGAGTTCATTTGAGGCGGGCACGAGAGTTATGGCCGTTGCTCGAAGCGAGACGAACTTTTAGCGCGGATGTTTGTGAAGAGGGCTCAGAGGGACGAGGATCCCTGTTGTGGATTGGTTCACGGACTAAGTATTGGATATGTTGATGAATTTGAGGAAGCGATGTTGAACATGGTTATCTTAGTTGGTTACGTGTCCGGGAGAGGGAACCATCACATTTGGAAGGTTAATTGCTGGAAATGTGATGATCTTTAAACCAGTTATTGTTTTGTATGACGATGGGATCTGCATGTATTTCTCGCAGTTGGTAAAGCGTCTGTGGATTGTGGATTGTGCAGCTAACTTTTGAATAGTGTTTCTGAAGGAGGCGGTTCTAACGTTTCATGATGGCCTTTCCTCGAGGCCTTCATGCTGTACATTGTGTGCATCCGCCGTTACCGGAGTCACCGTCGCCTTCAAAGAGGTCTCCAACACCTCCTGCGTGCTCGCCGCCCAGGCCTTCATCACCTCCCAAAAACCAATTCCTAATGCAATTGTTTCGGGATTCCAATCCAGAGCCTATTATCTTAACAGTAAACATTGATCGTTCAGAAAAGGAGCCTATGGCATATCGGGGGGGTTTTAAGGACATAAGAACTGGTACATGTAGTCTCTGTTGCGAATTCTTCCCTGCAACTAGTAACACCTTAATGCGTGGATGATGAGCTTTGGATACATGCAGATTTATATTCCGAGCGATGGTTTTTAGTAAGGTTGTGTTCACTTGGGAGTTTTTAGATGTCAATATTGGCCACGCAGTTTAGCTTTGACTTGAAGCTGATGAATTATTCCTGGCCACTCTGTTTTAGAAACGATCTTATACTTTTTACTTTCAAGTATGAGACTCTTTACTCACTCTAAGCTCCTTTGTTTATACTGCAGAGGAAGATTGTGACGTTAGTTTCATGGATGTGGGAGGTTGCAAAAATAGGTATCGAGTACTTGAATGCTGTTGCCCAGACACTGGAGTTGTGGCCTCCTGGCAAGAAGCTGAAAACCTACCCGGTGATGATGTCACGTGAGACTCAGCTATCTTGGCTCCGAACGCGAGTACATCAAACCTACAGGGAGGCATTCACCCAGATGGATAAAAATCCGACCTACTGGTCATTGGACAAGAATGGGGTAGTGATAAGCGACACCTTCGACTACTACAAGATCCCTGGACTTTATGAGGACTCGGATGCGTGGGAACGGAAACGAATTGCGGCTGTTATATTTATTCAAAAGCACACTCGCCGGAAAATTGCTCAACGAACTGCGAACCGCATGCGCCAATATGCTGCAAAAATGAAGGAGGTTGATGTCCCAGTCTATTTTCAGTGAATTTCAAATCCCCATGTGTTGTTTACAAAACTTGTGGCATTCCATTGAGCATTTATACCATCCGCGTGTGTCTATATTGGCAGTTCTGGATTGTGAGAGACAGGATCAATAAAGAAAACGCTGAGGCGAGAGTGCAGTACGAGATCCAACGGCGTCTACATCCCTCCACTCTGAATGATTTTAATCTATTGTGCAAAGAACTTGAGACGTGGCAAGTGGAGGCATGTTCTCTTCCCATCAAGTTATTTCAACCTGAATCGCATTGTTGTGACCTTGAGAGAAACTTGTTCTTGTACTCATTAGTTTGTATTGATATTCACTTCTGTTCTTGAACCAAATGATAACGGAAAAAGTTTGATTCGAAAGAAATTCTTCGTTGTCAATTTAATACATTGACTTTGTTTCAGTTAGACATGCCGCTCTTCCAGTAAGAAATGTTCATGGAGACACTGAATTTGGACATCATTGAATCTATGTACTTTCAGGAATACAGGAGACTAAATGCAAAGAACTTGGAAGGAGAGGAAAAGAAAAAAGCTTGTAAAGAGCTTATGGAAAAGGTAGAACTTTGATAAATCACTGTTATAATATAAGCCAGTGACACAGATTCTTTTTCGCCATGAGTTAAGTTATATTTGCCCAATAGCCTCTGTGATTTATCCTTATATTGATTTAACCGACAGAAATTGCTGTGAAATGCAGCAATTGAAATTGATCCAAACAATAGACAATTTAAAATTAAAGACAGAGGTCGTCGTTCATCGTAGAATGATAGAAAGGAAGTTGACAACAATGGCACTTCCAAAAGTTTGGGAGTTGACTAATGGCCAGCTAATCAACGTCACAACTCCAGCAACAATTCGAGCAGGAGAACTTGGGCAGGTGATTTTGAGCTTGTGTATTTCTGCAGCTGTTTGTCAGTGTGTGCGGCTTAACGCCCAGAATCGTGAAGTGATCGGTTAGTGCAATGCTTTAATCACTGTCGGTTCGTTTTGTTTTGCTTGCGACAGTTGTACCGAGAACTTGAAAAGAAAGTGGAATCCATGGACGACAGAATGGCGATTCTGGGCTATGTTAAGTGGACTGTGCAGGTTTTTGATACTGTTTTAACAAGGGAGATACTAAACCTAATTCAAAGAGAAGCTGATCTTATGTACCGAGGTCGATCAGCTAAATCGATTTCAGGCCTTCGGAAACGAATCCTACATCGGTTTTGGGCGGTACTGCACTCATACACCTGTGAACCGTCAACTATTTGCCATTGCAGTCTGTCTATATAATAAGTACAGTGCTTTGTGTATAAGCTAAGACTTTCTGCAGAATGAGCATTGTAAAGATAAGGTCAATTTCGAGGTGGTGTCTACTAAATCTTTTTTCTTTCCTAAATGCAGTTCGTAGAGGATCCATTATACAACCCCGAGGCCCAAATGTTTGCAAATGAGCCAACAGACTTTGATTATGGAAATAAGCACTTTCAGTGCATGAGAGATGCGCTTAACAAATTTCCATGAGATGAATCTATTTCAGAAACTTGATTTGAGTCCCCTGTGCCTTGATCACAGTTACTGCAATGGTGGTCCCGCACTGCATCTGCAGAAATTGATTTATTTTTTTCATTTCGGATTTATTGTCTGGATGCCATACATTGCTATGTGGATCCAAACTCAGGCATTCAGATGGCTACAGTACTGGGCCCGCGTAGCAATGCCCGTTTGAAGTGTTGTAACAAGTCACATTCACACCTCATGACAACAAGCCACGGCAAAGATTCTGGATGAATGATTACATAGCCACCGCATGGCAACTTGCCTTTACAAAGGGATAGGCAAGTAAATTGGGAACAAGTTCACTTTTGCTAAAACTCCTCTTAATCAATCATAATACTAGATTTATTCTTTGCCAATATTTGACTGCAAACAGATAAGGAACTTGAAATATTTATATACTATATTTATAATATGACTAATTCACTTCTTATATATATATTATATTTTATGTTTTTTGATGTAATATTAGGTTTCAAAATGGTATTAGAGCAATGGCTTTGAATGTAGAATTGTAGAAGTAGTTTTTAGAGGAAACTTCAGCACCAAAGAGGAATCCTACATCATCTTGTTTATAAACTTCAACAACTAAAAAAGAAGACTTGGTACTTATCCTTTGGATAATTATTGGAGAACTATTGAGACTTGCATTGTTGACAAAAATTACATGTATAGTTGAATGAAGCTGCCAGTTGAAAAGACATCTAAAGATCTAAGTTTTTGACAAAAGCTGCCAACTTGCACCAAATAGAAATTACAATCAAGTGAACATGTTGTATAAACTTCTCATTTTGTATTATAAAAAAAATAGACTTACTACAAGTCCTAAGTCTATATTTATGTATACAAAAAATTAAGTTAGCCAAAAGAGATAGATTCTTTTTTCTTCTAAAATGACTTTAAAAAAAACTTGTTATATAGCTGATTCCAACAAGGTTGAAGACATATCCAATTATAGAGTGTGAAAAATCAAAATCATGACCATTTTGAGAGAGAAGAAATTCAAATATTATATTTTCCTAAAAGAATTCAAAATCATTATAGAATTTAGAATTTTTATACTTGAGATTGAGTAAGAAAGAAAAGACGAAGTATTAACAATCATAATATTTTCATTGAAAGATAAAATATTGCATCATGTTGTAAAAAGTGAGAACCTTACAACATGTGGAGACATGTTCAAAAATATATTTGAAGCTACTAATAGAAAAAAGCCTTTCCATCTTAGCAATAGACTTGGGAATATCAAAATGATCGATGGAATCACTACAGAAGACTTCATCAAGTCAGTCAAAGAGTTGGTCATTCAACTCCAAGTGTTAGAGACATGATACCAAATATAAGAATGGTTTAGATTATGCTTGGAGTTCTATCCAAAAGCTATGATGCCTTCATACATGTATTACTGTGTCAGGATGAACTATTCAACTTCGAAAAACTTTATAGCAAGTTACTATTAGAAGAAGTAAAGAAGGAAGATGAAAAAATTTGAAATAAAGTTTTTTTAATAGAAAGAGCTAGAGGACACTTTGGAACATATTACAAAGGATTAAGAACTTATCATGATATCCAAAGATCAAAGAAGATTAGAAGCATACAACTAAATGTCAATAGCAATATACCACCAAAATTTTGTAAACCTATGCAAAGGAATCATTCGAATAACTATAGAATTTAGGACTATTTTATAAGAAAGTAGGGAAAATCTCCCATACTTTAAAAATGCTACATCTTTTGTCAAGAATAATGAGCAAAGCATTGATCTTAAATAAATGTTATCTAAAAAAAACCAATGGTAGAAGAATTGACAATAGGAGCTTAAATGTTTGAAGCAATAATGGTATCAATAGACATCAATAACAACAATATAAGTTGGTATTTAGATTTTGGTACCACAAAACATATAAGAAGAGATTCATCAAAAATATTTGAGTTAAAGACAATTAAAGATTCTAATGTTTGCTCAATTAATATGACCTCTTATTTAATTATAGGCTAAGGCAATGTACTTTTTAAATGTGATGGAGTAATAAAGAGAATCAGCAATGCTTTATATATTTTTGGTGTCACAAAAAATTGATATCAATAGGTAATATAATAAATAAATATTATATTATTATATTTAGATGGATCCACTATCAAATAGTAAATACATCTGACCCATCCAAAGTCATTACTAGAAGAAGCTATGATTCTACCAATGGATTGTATAAGTTAGAATCTAATAGTTTGGAATCTCACGTATATCTCATAGAAGAAAAATCAATTGATCTATGATATTTGAGGTTAAGACATGTTAATTTTAAAACCTTACATGAAATGACTAACATGGTAGAAGGATTACCACTATTACAAACAAAGAATAGGCCATGTCGACATTGCTTAGAAGATAAACATAGAAGATTTAATATTTCAAAGAAATCAAAGAATAAGACCATACAAAGAAATAATATTATACACACAAATCTTTGTAGGCCAATGCTAACAATGCTTTTATCTGGTTTTAGGTATTTCATAATATTTATTGATAATTATTCTAAAAAGACCTAGATCTATTTTTTGAAGTTGAAGTCATAAATCTTTCAAACTTTCAAGAACTTTAAAATATTGATTGAAAAAAAAAAGGAGATAACATTAAGAATATAAAAATAAATCAATGTAAAAAGTAAACATCTAAAGTTTTTGGGACATTTTGTACCATTAATGACATTATACATGAGAAGATTCAAGCATACACCATACCAAAATGAAATAGAAAAGTGTAAGAATTAATTACTTCTTGAGTAAGTACAAAGCATGAATCTTATTTTTGATGTCTATATATATATATATATATATATATACATATATAATCAAAGGTAATCAATACATCAATATATATCATTAACATGTGCTTTAGAAGGAGTAATAATGGCATGACTCCAGAAAAGAGGTTATAAGATTCAAAACTATAGTTGTCAACCTTAGAATCTTTAGATCACTTGCCTATGTCCATATCTTAAAAAATCAATAAAAAAATTGCAATCTAATCAGTAAAATATTTTTTCTTGAAATATGATTTAGTCACAAATGCATATTAATTATTTAATCTATAGACTAGAAAAATCATCATCGATAAAGATGTTATATTCAATAAAAAATTATTTAGAATTACAAGGATAATATTACCACAACTTATAGACTAAAATAAAAGAGTAGATTTTACCACAATAAATGAAGTTGCATCTCTTCTTTCACTCATCACAATTTTAGAAGAAGATATCCATTTACAACCTCAAGAAGAGTAGACAACAATGGCTCACCAAGGGATTGAAACAACATCATCCAATACAACACTAATATCCTAAGTTAAAAAATCATCATAGGTGAGAAGACCAACAATTCAATTAGAAGATTATATCTATATAATTGGTCTTAAAGATTCTAATACAATTGAAGAAACAAGTCAATACTTAGAATAGACTAGAGCAATGGAGAAGGAACTTCATTCTATCTAAAAAAAATTAAATTTAGAAGTTGGTTTATAGATTAGTAGAAAAAACTACTATCACCTAAAAATAAATTTTAAAGAGTAAGTAATTATTGACAATAAGATAGAAAAATTCAAAACAAGATTAATTCCTTGAAGATTTGAAAAAAAAAAGATATTGACTATTAAGATATCTTTGTATTTATGGTCAATAGGCCAATAATTTATTTTGTAGTTATCATGGCAACAACAAGAGGATAGAATATACGTCTTTTAGACATAAAAAATATATTTCAAAATAGAAATTTCAAAAAATAGATACACATGAAATTATTCTAAGATTTGTTCTTCTCTTAGAAAGAAAACTAAGGTAAAATCTACTTACTTAAAAATGTAATGTATGATCTTAAAGAAGCTAGTAGGGCTTGATCATTAAAACTCATGTATTCTTGATAGACTTTGGTATGATTAGAATAAAAACAGACTACAATATATATTTTTGTAAAGAAGAGTAATTCACCTTGATAGTGCTAATATGTGTAGATGACCTATTGATTACCAAAAATCACATAGTTTATATTGATGCACTAGAGCAAAAACTAGAGCATAAACTAGAGCAAAAACTAGAGAGTAGATTTGAAATATCAAAATTAGAATTATTCACTTTTTACATTGAAATAGAATTTATTCATCTCTCATAAGGAATAATATTGCTTCAAAGGAACTATATACTAAATCTCTTTGAAAGATTCAACTTAACAAATTGTAATGGACATATATATTTACTCCAATAGTTACTCATATGATTAGCTAGAAGTAAAAAAATATAGATTAATTTCATAAAGTCTTCTAGAGAAGATTTCTAGAAGCTTCATAGATGTAGTTTTGACTTTAGATAAGTTTATAGGTTAGAAACTTGGCCAACAAATTAACCAAATATTGATAGCTTATAGAACAAGCTAACTATGTGGTGCATACGTAGATAATTTACCTTGCAAGTTAAGACATGTAACTACCAAAGACAACACATGTTGGAGGTTCTATAGAATATTGCCACATAACTCTTGGTTGAATAGTATATATGGAGGTAAGAGTGAAGCCTTCTTCACTCTTGTGAATGCCTTTCTAGTCCTTAGTCTTGTTTCAAAACTTTCTAGTCTTCTTATTTTTGGCAATAGCTATTCTAGTTTAATATTATATCACCTTTTGAGTGACTTTTTAGTTCTCTTCAGTGACATAAGAGTGTATAGAAGATTTTCTTTCTTCGAGATTCATGTCCTTGATAATTTAAAAAGAATGCTAACATACTATTTTTGACTTTTTTAAGAAGTGAATGAATTACTCCACTTCTATTGTTGTATTTTGAAGGTTGCTGACTACCTATCTTTAAACAAAATCTTATTTTCTAACACTGATCTTTTCCTTAAAGAGAAAAAGTTACCCTTCTTTGTAAATTTTTTTATTAGAGGTAGTAGATTATTTTTCTCTAATTTAACTTTTTGAATTTGTTTGAATTGTTTATAGAAGGAAAGATTACGGAAGCTACTCTTAGCAAAAGTGAGAATAGATTTGCAACTATTGTAGATCTTTATGAGCTTGTCAATTCTCTAAGAGTGAAAATCTCATATATTTCCAATGTGAATTATGGAGGTACTATGCCTATGCATATGGAAGAAATTTAAAGTTTGCAGTAAGAAGTTGAGCAATTGAAAGAAGCAAATAGATTGACATTACAACCAAATCAAGGGAGTTTTGTTTCTATAAGTATGAAGAGGACAATGATTAGTATGCTTGACAAGTTTCATAGAACAAGATCAAAATTTTGAAGATTTTTACAATAAGTTAAGCTCTATCTAAGGTTGCATCTTTTTCAATACCTTGATG